TACCCCAAATTAAAGTAAGGAATGTGGAGTTTGTCCCCATTCGCCTGCCCTCCTAAGCCTGAAGTTCACCCTTAGTCTGAGCATGCTGCTAGAGATGGAGTAGAATCAGTAATGAGATGAGCCAACACTGAGGCTGAACTGCCAGTGATAAGCTTCCAGGCTGCTAATTCCCAGTTTTTCCCTGTTCTGCCTAGTTACCCTTGCACACTGCGCCAGTACCTGCGGGAGAACACTCCGGATGTTCGCCTCTCCACAATGATGATTTTACAGCTCCTGGAAGGCGTGGACCATCTTGTTCGACATGGGATAGCACACAGAGACCTCAAGTCTGACAACATCCTGGTTGAATTCGATTCTGGTACGTAGATCCCTGAGGATAAATGCCAATTAACTTGTAGAAGGGATACAGTCGTGTAGGTATTCAGAGAAGTCTCACCCAGCTGTGTGTGGAGGGGGGGAAAAACATCAAACCCTTTGAAAAATCTCAGGTTTAATTTTTATCTTGGTGTTTGGTGTCACTGCAGCAGTGGGGAAGTCATGAATCCTGTCTGTGCATGAGGTTTTGGATCATTAACATGGACACAGAGTGTTGCTGAGGTGATGCATTGCATGAGCACAGCCAGCGTTCACTGGAGCATCTGATAACGCCACATTTGGGATGCTGCAGGTGCCTTTGCTTCAGGCTATTGGCTCTGTCATCTCTCCCAAGCCAAACTGCACAGAGAGCCTCTTAAAATCTTACTCCATAGCCAAGTTAATTCTGCATCACCCTGGGATGATGAAACAGGGGTTGGGAGCAAGAGGAATCGACTGTTACAGCCAAAAGCATCTTTTTCATGGGCTTGTTCTGTCAGCCTCTAACGGAGATTTTAATTACCTGAGCTCGTTTTCAGTGTGATTGAGATTTAAATGGGCAGGAAGCAATAGCAGGCAGGTCTGTGTAATTAGGAGTAGAAGAATTAGCTTGAAGAGTATCAGGGAGAGACAGAGAGTATGGGAATGCACCCTGCCTTCCCTGAGAGAGGGTGCACGATACGGAGGATTCCCTCTTCCCCAGGGCTCAGGATTTAGAACCATAGAATGGCCTGGGTTGGATGGGACCTTAAAGCTCATCTCATTCCAACCCCTCTGCCATTGGCAGGGACACCTCCCACTAGACCAGGTTGCTCTAATCAATCAACTATCTGGATGAGGGGATGGGAGTGCACCCTCAGTCAGTTTGCAGAGGACACCAGGCTGGGTGTTGATGTGACGTGGTGTTCAGTGCAGCCATGTCCTCCCAAACGGAACCCTAACTCTGCCAGCCCTGTGTTGTTCACAGCTGGCTGCCCCTGGCTGGTCATCACCGACTTCGGCTGCTGTCTGGCAGATGAAAAAGTTGGCCTGAGGCTGCCTTTCACCAGCTCCTACGTGGATCGGGGTGGCAACGGCTGCCTTATGGCACCAGAGGTAAGTCCCTCTGAAGTGGTGGTTTATGGTGTTGGTTTTCTGCTTGTTCTGCTGTTGGGACTAAAAGTTTTGGCGGCATAGAAGGTGTCCATGTCCTAACTTAAGTTAGACTTGGTGAAGCCTGAGCTGAGCACTGTCCAGCAGACACCTTGAGCTCTAACAGGTGAAACATAATCAGTTGGCATCTTTCCCCCCAAAATTTACTCTCCAGTCTTAATTCAGGCCCCTTCCTGTGTAACTATAAAGAATTATATCCAGCAGTCCTCGTGTTGCAACAGTGGTTTTTGGCTGAAGTTCAAGGCGGTTGTGAAATTATTTGCAGTTCCTTTTTATTTCTCTGATGATAACCCTAATAAAAGCCAAGACACCCTTAACTGTGCTGGACCTGGCACACCTTGCCATGGTGTCGGTTGTTCATCTCCATGTCTCCTGTCTCCATAATTCCAGCAGGAAACAGCCCTTGGGACTCAGAGAATGCCAGTCAGTGGCAACTTAGGTGCAATGTCCAAACTCCTCCCAGCATCCCAGTGGGCTGAGCAGTGCCAGAGGCTTATTTCGTGCCAATGGGGAATATTTACACTGGAGATCTCTATGGAACCCGCCTTTGGTTTCAGTCTTTCAGTTTATTACAGGAAAAATGCCGATTTGACCATAGAAAATAAAATTTGAGCACAGAGGCCACACTCGGGCTGTTTGTTTGAGCATCCCCCTCTCTGTGGCAGGTGATCACAGCATCACCTGGCCCTGGCACAGTGATCAACTACAGCAAAGCTGATGCTTGGGCTGTTGGAGCGATCGCCTACGAAATCCTGGGCCTGGCCAATCCTTTCTACGGCCACGGGGACTCGACTCTGGAAAGCAGGAGTTACCAGGAGGACCAGCTGCCACTCCTGCCTGATCACGTGCCCCTCGAGGTGAAGCAAGTGATAAAGATGCTGCTTCAGAGGGATCCCAGCAAGGTAAGACACCGTTGTCTTCAAGATATGCCCCTTGGGAGTGTCATTTGTGGATTGTTTTGCCTTGGAGGACTGCGAGTGCAGGAGTTGATCCAGATCTCACTGCAGCCTCCATAAGGGTCAAATCTAAACAAAAAGTCTTTGCTGAGGGACAGTGGTGCTGAATCATTTCAGGGATTTCAGCCCATGTTTGTGTCAGGACTGGACCTCAAATTGGGGGTTTCACTGAGCAGCCTGACATTAATAATCACAGAGAGTTTTTAATTGACAGAGAGTTTTGTCAGTACAGATGCTCTGTGCTGGTGATGTGACTGAGTGCAGAGGGATCAGCTAACCTTCCCTCTCCCTCCTCTTGCAGAGGTTGTCTGCGAGAGTTGCTGCAAACGTGCTTCACCTGAGCCTCTGGGGTGACAGTGTTGTAGCATCCAGGACCCTGAAACCCGACCAGATGATTGCCTGGCTCCTCTGCCAGTCAGCTGCCACCCTGCTCACCAACAGGCTGGTGGATAAAAGCCGGGTAGAAACCAAAATGAAGATGTGCTTTTTGGCAAACCTTGAGTTTGAAGACCTCTGGGCAGCAATATTCCTGTTGCTGGCCTGGAGAAGCCATTCTGGGTGAAGGAACCACCTGGAACACGAGCATTTCAGTTAAATGGCACTTTCTAAAGGCACATATAGGAACCTGTCCTTTCTGTCTGCCTGGAATCCTGTAGTGCTTTAGGGAACAAACTGCAAGCCTGTGTTTAAGAGCTTGAGTTTCCTCTAGCAAGTGTTAGCACACCCTGCTTTTCTCCCTCTGCTAGAGGAGATGCCCTTGCTTCCTTACTGTCTGGGTGGGAGGGTGTGTGGACCTTGCAGGTGTCCTGAGGTACGTGGCTGGTTTTGCTCCCATTTGGGAATTCTTTCTTGACTTGTGTGTTGAGTGGAGCAGGTTCCCTTTGAGATGGGGTGGGTGGGAGGAGGCACTGTCTGCCTGCACTTTACATGGAAACATCACAACCTTAACAACACTCTGAGAAAGCTGAGCTGACAAAGGGATGTGCAGTTTCTCTGTTCTTGGGGAAACCAGTGGTGATCTGAGGCTGCTATTCCTGTGAGCTGCAAAATGACGAGCCTGGAAGCTTCCTGGTGAGGTGCTGCCTGGTAACATGAGCGTCAGCAGCACTGAGCACCTCACAGTTGTACGCAGGAGAGTGGAGGCACATCGTCCTCAAACCCCGCTTGTGTCTGTTCTTAACTGTTGTAGTTCTGTGGTGATGCTGCTGCAGGGTCCAAGGCTGGGTCAGAATGTCCAGTTAGGGATGGTGCTCCAAACAAAATGAGGCTAAGCAGCAGCACCTGCTTGAAGAGCTTAGTGTGATGCCCTGCTGTTTTACCTGCCTGTTTTTAATTCAGTGAAATAATATCCTTTGGTGGGGAGGACAGGAGACATCAATCTTTAAATAATAACAACAGCCATGTTTATGAAACATCATTCAATTTTGTGTCTATAAATGTGTTTAGAGGAACTTGGGGACAAAGTTATTTATGCTTGTTGCACAATAAATTGAAGATTAAGCTCTGTGGCTGTGTGGGTTCTCTCAATCCATGGTGTCTTAAACAATTGTTCAGCTCTTTCCATTGCTGACTGTGGAACACAGTATTTTATTCCAAGTGAGTTTCCCAAAGAGGAATGGACTTTGCTTGTGGATGTGCCTGTTTTGTGCTTTCCTGCATGGTATATCTCTGGCTGCTCCTGCAGTTTCCAGGTGGAGGACAGCAATGGCTGATATCCCTGACCATCACATGATAACGTTCTGCCAGGGTCCTGCACAGCATTTCAGTTCAGCAAAGAGGGAATCACAGGAAACTCAGCTCTTTGGGGAAAAAAGTTGCAAAAAAAGACCTTTGTAATATTGATCTGACCACACCTAAGTGGGTGCTGCTTCTTCTTACAATACTGAATTCTTGCAGTGTGTCTTTGCTGCCTTGGGTTTGTGTGTGCTCTCCTGTGAGCTCTGTGCCCAGGTCTGGCAGCGAGGCACATTCCCTGGTCACTGCCTCTGGAGCCTTTTGGAGAGTAAATACTGTCCCTGTGTGGTGGATCTCTGCTCTGAGCCCTCTTTCTGCTGTGAACATCATTCCCATGCCTTTCCCTCTCCCAGGTCTAGTCTCTACATGAGTAGGGAGCAGAATTAGGAGCTGGAGCTGTCTGATTTCAAGTGTGTTGGTATTCACCCAGCCAGGATTTAATCTGTGCTGGTCAACTCCAGACACTGGAAACTTGCTTGCCCTGGCAATCATTTCATCTCTGCCCTCAAAAACAGCCTAAAATGCTAGTCCCACAGCTTGTCCCTCTGGTCCTTAAATCCCTGTTAATGCTTCCCCTGTGCTTGCATTTTGTCCGCCCATCGTTCTGCTGAGCTTGGACTTTCCCTTTGTTTTCTTTCCCTCCTGCCTTCCATTTTCATGACTCCTCAGCATTCTGGGTGCTTTTGTGAGGTGCAGGTTAAAAGTGCAAGCTGTTAATGCTCCAAATGCTGCCATGCTATCTGAATGCCCGAGGGGAGCCAACTGGGACGATTCCCAGTGCGTCCCCTCCTGCCCTGTCCCGCTAATCCCTGCACAGGCTCTTGGTGGAGGCGCTCAAGCCAAAGCCTCTCACTGCCCTGTTTGCTCCTGGTGTTTGCCAGGACTGTGCCATTGGGAAAGGGGGTGGCTGGGCTGGATCTCTGCCCTTCCCTGGGCAGTGGGATGTCCGACTGCACTTTGAACCCTGGAGGGAGGCTTGGCGGAGGCTGCTGGCTCTCTGCCCACCCCTGACACTCGAGACAGAACCGGCTCCAAAGCACCTCTCGCTGTGTTCCCTGTGGGATAGAGAGTGGGAGTCTGTGGAGCAGGATGAGGCACCTGCTCTGGGCTGGCTGCTTCCAGCTGCTGCCATGGCAAGCTGGACCCTGCACTCGCAAGCTGACGACTGCAGTGACCAGTGCAGTGGCTACCTCACACTGCGGCCCGTGGCTCCTGGCTCCTCTGGCCGCCTCCAGCTCCTTACCCAGTGTGTCCAAGGGGTTCCTCCAGCCCCCGATCCTGGGGAGCAGGGCCCCTTGCTGCTGGGGCTCACAGTTCAACGTGCCTCCCAGTGCCCTGCTCGTGGCCCGGCCCGTGGGGGTCTGCTCCATGATGAGACTCCCCGTGCAGGCGTCGGCGCGGGGACTGGACGCGGCGTTTGTCGGTGTCCCGCTGGACACAGGTACATCCAACCGGCCGGGAGCCAGGTAAGGGTGAGCCGTGGGGAGCTGGTGCTTCGCTCTGGCACAGCTCTCCTCTGCTGAGAGGAGCTCTGCTGGGAGCTCTGCCCGGTGGCTTCTCCCAGCTGCGCCGTTCCGCAGGTTCGGCCCACGTCAGATCCGCGCGGAGTCGGCCATGGTGAGGAGGTACAACGGCAGCACCGGGGCAGCGCCTTTCGACTCCCTGCGGGTCGCTGACATCGGGGACGTGAGCGTGAACCTCTACAACCTGCCCGACAGCTGCCGCCTCATCCGAGAGTCCTACCAGGAGATCGTGGCCTCTGGCTGTGTGCCCCTCACCTTGGGTAAGGACCAAGTTTGCTCAGCCAAACTCCTCCTCTTCCTCCTCCCTCCCATCGTTCAATCCAAACACAGCAGAGGGTGAGTGATGCGGGACTGACTGTTCTTTGATGCCCCTTTTAGGTCAAAAATGATGAGGATGGGTCAGTCTGTAAATACTGACGTGTTTTTGGTGTCCTGCAGAACCACACCAGGACACATCCCTCGTGTCCATCCACCTGTGGGTGTGCCTGGCTTTGCACGAGGCTTCATTTGGGCACATGTTCAAGTTTGCAGCTGTCACAGCTTGGCATCGCTAAAGGAAGAGAATGTGTAGAGTAACGAGGGGCAAATCACCAGTTACAGCATCCTCAGAAAGGGATCATGTGTTTATTTATAAGCCCAATCAAGGGTCCTGCTCCACTGGCTGTCCCTGCTGGCAGTCCTGCACCTCTGGTCCTCCCCAGGAAGAAAGAGGAGATAGGAAACAACCTGCACTCAGGAGCTTCAGGTTTTCCTTCGAAAATGAAGCTCTGGAGTGTATAAATAAATGCAGGATAAATGCAAGGAGGGGAAAAAAAATACCTGGGAACAGAGGTAATGAGTGCTGAGCAGCTCTTGCAGTGTGTTACCCCCTCTTCCCTGTTCTGCTGCAGGTGGAGAGCACACCATAACGTACCCAATCCTGCAGGCCCTGGCAGCAAAGTAAGTTTCTAA